TTTTTAGAAATTCCTTAAAGTATTTATGGATCAAAAGTATTGTTAAAAATAAGGTTTAAAGTTTTCAGGTTTTTCATATTATTTATTGGCTTTAAGATATTAGAAATTAAATTATTAGAATCATTCAATAGACATTCATCTATATAGTTAAATTCTAGTGTAAATTCAACAATATTTATTATTTCAGAAACTATATTTATTGTTTTAATTAATTTGCTTGCCACATTTATTTTCAAAGGATCAATAGTTTTATTAAAGCGTAATTCTAAATGGGTTAAAGATTACGAATTCTTTATATTTTTTAAAAGATAATTAGTAGAAAATAAAAGCTTTTATTAATCTTCACTCATAAGTAATAAATGAATTGAAAGTTTTTTTAAATTTGTTAGATAAATATTTAAAGCATTTCCTAAATTATACCATTATTATTTAGAAAATAGTTAATTTTAACATTTTAATTAGAAAATTTGTAAATTTTTTATATTTTGAATAACTTCAATAAAGTTATCATATTATTCAGAATTTTAGAAAACATTATTTTTATAAAAATGTATTTAAAGTTGTTTCAAATTTTCAATATGTGAAAAATTTTATATTATTTTATCATTATAATTTTATATTTTCTTTTCATTATTTTATTTCTAAATTATTATTTCAACCTTTTCTAAGTTTTTATTTTTTTATATTTAACTAAATACATATTAATTTGACTCATTATATCCATTAATTGTTAACTCAGACAAATTTTTTAATTAACCTAAATTATTTGCTAACTATTATAAATAATCAATATTTTTTTAAGAAAAATCAAAATTTTAATCAATTGTGATTTATAAATTTTATAATAGTTATAATTTTTTCAAAGCTGAAAAAGCTAAAACATAATCGATATCAATTTAATATAATAAAATATTTATTTTTTTGGAATACATCCAATCTTTATGATTTTCTTAAAGTATTTATTAAAGATTTTAAGCTTCATTTAATAAAATCTTATCTAGTTTTTGATTAAGTAAATGTTCAATAGGATAATATTACATTATTATATAAATAAAAGATATTAATAAAATTATTTATATTTATTATTATTTATTTTTTTATATTAAAGTTAATATTTAATTATATTTTTTATATATAAATAAATAGTTAAATATATAAGATTTTTAATTATATTAAAAATTTTGATGGTAATTGCTAATATGAAATGTTAAAAATATACTCATAGCTTAAAATATTAAAAAATAATTAATTTATATAAATTAAAATATCTTTTGAGTACATATTTTATGATATTGCTAATTTATATTTATAATAAAATAAACTTTTAATTTTAATATAAATATTAAATAAAATATTAAAAACATAATAAGAAAGTCAGAAAATAATGCTATTTGTAAAAATAGTAATATATATTTTATTATTATATAATTTGTATTAGTAATATTTTATTTATGTTTTTATTTCATTTTTTAATGAAATATTTATTATTATTTTTTAATATATTAATAAATTTAATTTAAATTCTATTTAAATAAATATTATAATTTTATAAATTTTATATAAAAATATATTTATTTTTTGATAACAAACATATAAATTGGATATGTTTAATACAACTTGTTATAGCCTAACACATTTAGACTTAAAGAAATATCTTAAAAAACTAATAGCAGTATATATTTAAAAAAAACAAGAAAAATAAAATTCTAACAACATAAAACAATTATCTTCATAAAATTTATAAAATCTCTAAGAAATAAAATATTAAAAATATGAAAAAAATAATGATATTTAAAAATAAAAAGATATAATTAAGACTATACAAATTATATTAATTAATATTTAAAAATCATAAAAAAGTTCTGAAATTATTTATATATATATTTTTTTTTAGTATATATTATACATAAAAAAATAGAATTTATTTTATTTTTATTAATTAATTTTAAATATTATGATTTTTTTGATTAAATATATTATATAAAATTATCTAGAATAAATAACATTATTGAAAAGTAATAATTTATTTATAATAACTTATTTTACATATAAATATTATATTTAATTATTAAAAAAATTAAAATATAATGAAGTGTATGTATATTTTAGAAATTCTATTCTGATATTTGAAATTTTGAAAATCTTAAATATTTTTATTTTATAATAATAATTTATTAATAAAAACTTAATTGTATTCATAATTTATAATTATCAATATAAATATCATAACTATACTAATATTTTTTATAATTATTACAGAAAAGCTTATAAATTAAATTATATGACAAGTAACTATTTATTGTATTTTAATATTTTTTTGATAATATTTTTAGAAATTTTATTTATATATAATAAAAAAGATATTCTAATTATTGAATTTATAACTAGTAAAAAAGTAATAATATCTACTAAAAGAAGATTACTTTTTTAATAAAATTGTGAATAAAATATTTTAAATAGTGTGTTTTATATTTTTTACAAAATATTCTAGTTAAATACTTTTGTTCTTTTAGTATATTTATTATAATTAATATATAAATATATATATATCAACATTAAAAAAAATGTTGTTAATAAATATTATTTTTTTATAAAAAATAAAATTAAAAGCATAAAAATTCTTTTAAAAATTTATTTTATTAAAAAACATAAATTATTTTAATATTTTAAAGTAGTTTAATGATTATAAAAAGGTAAATATTTAATTTTTATAAAAATAATATATCATTATTTATATCTAAAATAATATAATTAAAATAAAATTATAATCTTCTAACTTTTATCTATAATAAAATATTTGACAATAAAAAATCATTTTGTCAACATATTAATTATTTAACTTACTGTGTATTATCCATAAATACTCATTATATCAGTATTTTAAATTAAATGCAATAAACTAGCTCTAATTCCTACAATCGAGTAAAGTTAGAAGTCTACTTTATCAGTTTTTTCCTAATATTCCTCTCCACTATATTTTTTCTCATATTAAATAAAATATCTCTAATTTGGTCCAAAACTTAAGTCCATTTAAGCTTATTCTTAAGGTACGTTAGTCCTATAAGTAATTTTCTTTTATTATAAATTGAGAATTTCTAAAAACTCCCCATCTTCATTTACTGAAGAAATAATTGCAATTTTTTAATTATAATCCATAAAATAAACATCATTTAAAATAAAAGAATTAGAATATAAACAATCGAAATCATTCAAATTTATAAAATCTTAAACTTCTTATTTTACCCAATCTATTACAATTATTTTTGGGGGCTCTTCTTATGTATTTACCCAAAGAAACACCTTTATATAATATATTAATATTTCATTTTATTGATTATAAAAATAAAAAATAATTAATTATATAATCTTTTAATATATACTTCTGTTTAACTCCAAGGATAAACAGCAATTACATCATAATTACAAGATTTTTAAAGTCTGATTTTTTTTTTATTTTTTTTTAAAAAAATATATAATAAATAAATAATATATTACTTAATATTAGTATAACCTCTTTCTTTTTCTAAAACATTTATAACAAAAAGTTCGATAGGGTCATCATATTAATGTTGACCCCAAAGCATAACTTTATCATTTTGATTGAGTGCTGTAATAGAAATATCTTTTTACTTTTCGTCTGGATATATTACCTAATGTTTAAGTATATTACTGCCAACAGCAAATATAGAAATAATGCATTCATTAGTGGAACAAATTATGCTTTTTTTTTCCAAAACTACGATAAGGTTAGATTATTCTAAAATAAGTATTTAAATTCCACTAGTAATAATATCATTTATTTTATTTTGTTTTCTTTCACAAATATTTTATATATTTTCAGTAGGAACTTTTGGAGAAAATTAATTATTTATCCTTCCCGAATTTAAATCTAAAATTTACAAAGCCATCAGTTTTTCATCTAAATAAAGAATTTAGTTTTCTTTTAAACTATATATATGCTTTAAATCTGCCTACATTTTATATTCATTTAACTTTTTATTATTTAATAAATTCCATAGTTACGCTATCCCGTTATTAAAATATATAAATGCTTCATAATTATTTAATGCTATAATGTTTTATATGTAAGATGTAAATTAAGTTTCTATTATTATTTACTTTCTTGATAATCGATAATTGTTTATTGGATTTAAATCTCGACATTTTGAAGCTGATTTTTAAAAAAGAGCCGCGCTTTGTATTATTTTTATGTTTTATTATTATTCCATTTTTATGTTAATTAATGTTTTTTATTTATTTAAAATTATTATAATTTTTAAATAATTAATTTAAAAAAAAAAAAAAAAATATTAATTATTTAAAAATATTTTTTTTAATTTTTTTTTTGTTAAAAAAATAATAATACTGAAAATATTGTAATTACATGAAAAAAAACCTATTTAAAAAGTTAAACATTTAAAAGTTAATATATAAAAAAGTAGCAGGCATCATATTTATGAAAATCATTAGTTTAAAAATGTCTTTTTTATTATGATATTACAAATTCTGTTAAAATATTAATATTAATTTAACTTTAACACATTATTATTATATATTTAATTTCAATAAAATAAAATATTTTTTTACTATTATATTTTTAAATACAAATATTTATAAAAATAAATATTTTTATTTTAAAAATTAATACCAAATAAAATTAAATGAATAAGTTTATAAAAATAAGAAATGCAAACATTATTTCGATATAAATCTTAATAAAGACAATTTGTCCGAGTGGTTAAGGAGGAAGACTAGAAATCTTTTGGGTTTACCCGCGCAGGTTCGAATCCTGCAGTTGTCGATTTTTTTATTTTTTTTAAATAATTTAATTTTTTATTGTTCAAAAATTTTATAAAAATATTCCAGAAAAAAAAAATAGTTATTTTATATAATTATTTATAATATTAATAAAAAGTACTCATAAATATACAACTAGACATATAATATTAACTAAATAAAAATTAAATATTAATAAAATATTTTTTTTAAAAAATAATGTCGGAAACTCCTTCCACAGACGAATCATAATCAATTCAATAAAATCCTTAATCCGATCGAATTTCACCTAAATTCCAATTAAACCAAAAACCAGTAGATTAGAAAGTAATCGAGTAGACATTTTAAAGTTTCAAGCAAGATGTATAAAGTTTATAAACAAAAAACATTTAAATGAAATAATTAAAAGTTGATGTTTAATTAGACCGTTTAATAAATTAGCGTTTTTAAAATCCATATGATGTTCTTTTATTAGACATGGAGGCTACAGATGAAGAAATAAAAAAATAACATAGAAATTTTGCAATTATATTACATCCAGATAGATGTAAAGATGAAAGGTCAAAAGATGCTTTTTTTATTGTCGATAAGGCTTATAAGACACTAATGGATCCTGAAAAAAGGAAGATTTATATAAGAATTATGAGAGAGGCGAAAGAAAGAACTGAATATGAAAGACAAAAAGAAAATAAAAAAAGGGCTAAAAGTGGACTTCCAGATCTACCAGAAGATACTTTTGAAGGTCATTATAGAGAAAATTTGAAAAAAATTTTCGATGAAATTGAAGAAAGGAAAGTCCATCATGCAAAACTTTAAATGAGTTAATAAATGGCTAAAAATGAAGAAATTGAAAAGAAGAAAATGATTGAATAATACAGAATTTATACCGTAGAAGAATGGGAATAAACTAGGGAGTCAAGAGTTAGTAATTGGGGGACCTTTTCTAAAAAAAAAGCTATTATTGGTTCTAAAAAAAGTGACAAAAGCTTAAAACCGCCACCTACTAAGATGGAAGAAAGACCGCTTTCAGCTGTTAAATAAGATAATATTTCGGGTAAACCTATTGGAATTAATGAAGATTATAAAAAAAATTGGAGGTGATTAAATTATAAATATATATTTTTTATATTTTAGCTAAACTATACTTCTTCGTCTATCGTCTATGTTTTATAAAATATAAAGTTAAATTATTTTATTTTTTTGAGGATAAAAAGGAAATATAAATTAAATAAATAATTTTTTTCATATATAAATATAATTTAAATTAATAATATTTTATATTATTATTATATTTTTAAATATTATAATATTTTTTTATTATACTATAAATTTTTTTAAATATCATTATTTAACAAAATTAGATTTATATTGTATTTTCTGTTTTTACATAAAAATAATTTAATTTTTATAAAAACTTGAATATAAATTAAAATTAAATTTATATAAATCTATATAATTAGTTATAAATTAATATTATTAATTATTCTTCATTTTTTTAAATATTTTAATTTTATATAAATAATACAAAATATATAATTAAATTAAGGAATATTGGATTTTTTAATATTTTTTTAGAATAGTAATATTTAAAAAGATTTTGTTGTAATTTTTTTATATGTAGTAATATTTTTAATAATATATTAGAATTTAGTTAGAATTAATATTAATCTAATTTTTTATCTTTTATTTTTTATAATACGAATATTTTGATTTATCAAAACATTATAAATAATATATATATTTATATTAAAAATAAATAATAAAATAAAAAATAATTAATAAAATAAAAATGAATACTTAAGAAGCCTCATATGAAAAAAATACAATAATCGATTATAGAGGAACCTTTACAAATTCAGTAAGATAACTATTTGATAGTTTAACAAAATTTATAAACGCAAATTAATAAGCTGTAAAAATTTAAATTAAATTTATTATTTTTAAACAAATAAAAGGACATGTATTTATTATTTACAGAAGAAAAAGGTTTATAATTTATATGTGTTACATAAGGAAGTACGACATAAAACATTGTTTAACTTTTGCCTGAATTTTTCAATTGTAAAAAATACATAAATAGTGATTTAATGAATAATGGAAAAAAATCTCATTTCGTGAAAATATTTTGCTAAGATTTCACTACAATTTATAAATTATTGGATGTAGAAAAACAACTTTAAATTTGTTAGTATAGTGATTCTTCAGATAAAATAAAATTCAATTAAATAAAATAAGATGATTATTTTTATAAATTAGATATTTAAAAAGACATAGAAATTTCTATTAAAGATACTGGTTTTGATGACATTGAATTAGTTAGATAAAATATGATTTCTGACTAATAATTTCAAATTATTTTGGAATTCGAAAATGTAATATATATATATATTTAAAAAAGGAAAAATTTAAAATAAAGGGAAACATATTTAAAATAGTTGATAAAGTAATATCAAATCTAAAAGTTACATTTTTAAAATTTACCTTTGATTTTGGAGCTTAAGAAAAAGTGATTTATATACACGAAGAAAATGATTTTGAAGATTTCAAATTTTAAATAGGTCATTTTAAAAAAATTAAAGGGGATAATATATCTTAAACGTATATTTTTATAAGAAAAATTATTTTATATTTATTTATTTTTATAAAAAGGTTTCTTTATTAAATAAAATTATTAAAACCAGTATTTTCATTTATAACACAAAATAATCAGCTCAAAATCAAAATAGATTAAGCGGGAAATATGTGCTTTATGTCAATACAGTATAAATAATATACAATTTATTTTTTAATTATTAATATTAATTTAATTTAATATTTTATTAAATTAATATAAAAAAATAAATATAATAAAAGCAATTAGGTAAATGTTTATACTGAAACATGGATTCCTAGATATATTTATGAAGAAAAGTTTAACTGATATATTAAAATATGATAATAGTTAATATTTATGTAAATTTTTTAAAACATTTATTATATTTTTTTTTTAATTTTATTCATAAATGAAATATTATATATATTTATTAATCAATTTTTTTATTCAGATATTTTAATGATTAATATTAATTATTATAAAATACTTTTATCTTTTTTATTTTTTAAAAAAATAATAATTAATATACTTAAACAGGAAAAAATTAAAATAAAATTAAAAGAATTCATATTAATACATATTATAATTAAATATTATAATTTTGTGATTATATTTTATAATTTAATTTGATATAAAATATTAAAATAAAAAAGAAAAATAAATTATAAAAAATGATGAATTTTACAGCAAAGCCGTCACTATAAAAAAAACAAAACGTAATTAAATTTAAAACATAAATTTAAAAATTTAAACTAATAAAAATATAGATAAATATATAATATAATTTTTTTTTTAAATAAAAAAAAGTTTTACAAAATATAAGCTGTTTTAGATGATCATGAATTAACAAGAAAACTAATTTCTGAGGTACAAATAATGAACCATTTGAATAATTTTACAAAAAACAAACAATTTATTATAGGGAAGCTCCTCTTTAATGGAAGCAATAAGCGATTAATTATATTTTACATCATTAATAGGAAACTAAATATAAGAAAAATGTATTGAATATGTTTAGAAATTAATAAATGAGAAAGTAATAAAATTGTTTTAAATATATATTTAGCAAAAATATTATCTAAAGAAATTACCAAATAAAATAAACTATATTTAAAATTAATTAAGTACCTATTTGGAGAATCCAAAATCTGAATTATTTAATAATGTAAAATTTAATATTTTTTTGCAAAAATAAAAAAAATATATAAAAAAGCTAAATTTGGAACTAGTTTCAATAGTATATTAAGTTCAAATTAAGGTTCATTCAATATCTGATGAATCATACTTAAATTCCTATATTATAGGAAAGCAATATTAAAAAAAAATAAAAATTATAAACATAGATAATAACTTCGATTCAATTTATACTAATGCATAATTAAAAGATTTTACCATGTGTTAGAATTTACTATATGAAGTAATATAAATAAAATATTGAATATTTTTATATTCCAAAAATAGTTTTTAAATGAAAAATTATAATTAGGAAAAAAATAAACTTAAGAATTAATAAACATTAGTTACGAAGTATAAAAAAATAAAAATAGAAAAATAATAAAAAAAAAATATAAAAAAAAATATAAAAAAAAAATAGAATAAATAAAGCAATAGATGTATAGAAAGACTTACAATATAAAATGATTTATCTACCAAAAGGCAGAAAAGAAGTCTTTCTGACAACAGATAAGATGTTGATGAAAAACACAACACCAACTATTATAATTTATTTCGAGCATACAAATTTCCAGATAAATTTTTGTATTAATTTATCAAGAAAACAGAAAGCCCATCTAATACAACCTCTTAAAATTTGAAAAAGCCCCAAATTCATTTTGAACCTATAAAAAACTAACCCATAGAAGATAATGATAGTATATTTAATGATGATGGTGGTTTAGAACTTGAACATAAATATAATAAAAGTACAAACGAATTAAACCAAGAATAACAAGAAGAAGAAGAAGATATTTTGATAAAAGAAACCTAGATTCCAATAAGAAAACCAACAGATAAATTCGAAGGAGATAAAAGATCGAGAGATTCACCGAGTAATAAAGATTCATTTGCAGCTTTTTAAGATTATAATAATTTAGGAATTCCCTTAGTACAAATTCCTTTGTAGCATAGTTCTAGTAATCCAAATATTAGAATATAAATAAAAAATTAATCAAGAAACGAAAATAATGCAACTTCAATGACAACTATTTAATATGATAAAAACATGAAAATGTAAAACGAAAATAATAGGCATTTAATGAATTTAAGTTAAAATAAAAAGAAGAAAAACTAACAAGAAATAAATAATAATAGTGGTGATGTTTCTTCTTAAAAAAATAGTAATGGAAATCATTAGCTTTTGAATGGAAATCATCTTTATACTGGGACACTTAAATTTTTTGACCACGAAAAAAATTATGGATTTATTGTCGAAGATTCCACTAAATCAGATATTTTCCTACATAATGATGATTTATAGAAAGCTAATATATCTAAAAATGCACTTTTAGGTTAAAAATAAGGTCAAATTATTAGATTCTAATTTTGTTGTATGGAATATATTGGGAAATATAAGTAGTCTAGAAAGGCCGTTGATATCAAGCTTTTGAATGATGGATAGTAATAGATTTAATAGTTTAATTAATTTAATTAGATGCCAAAAATTTAATAGTTAATTGGCCCTATTGGATTTATGGGAAGCAGTATAAACGAATAATATAATAACCATATTTATAATAATTTCCAACAAAATTATATCACTTAATAACTAATTTATCCAATAAATATTTAAGCTAATGTTAAAGAATAATTTCAATATTCTTAAGTTCATTTTGGATAGAAGTGATTTTTTTATTTTTTTACGTTTTTATAAAAATAACTATTTTATATATAATTTTTTATTAATATGAAATTATTTAACTATCTATTAATTTTTATATGAAAGTTTTAAAATAAATTTTATTTGTGACAATTTTTTATTTAAAATAAAAAATAGTTTTTTTTTAAAAAAAAAAATGAAAAAAAAAATCAATTTAGAAAATATAAAAATCTTTTATGATAAACTTAAAAATACAAAAAATAATAATCATCTAAATCAATGCAATAATAAATAAACCCAAAGTTAAATAAACGAAAATATTGTTAACCCAATAGATTATTTTTAAAAAAAGTAACTTTATTAAATAATAAAGATTAAACTTAAAAATAATAATGTGACTCTAAATAAATATTAATAAATAATTAAAATATAAGGAAAAGTAAAAGTATTTCTTAATAAAAAGTATTTTTTCCAAGAACCAAAATAAATTCTTAAATAATAAAAATCGAAGAAGGAAATAATTTTCTTCTTAAAGAAATATATTCCAAAACTTAAACAAATACTCCTAGATACCATAATTTAATAAAATCTGACTAAATAGAATAAAAAAATTTATAACCAAATAATTCATATTACAAATAAAAGAATTAAAACACAAACTAATTATAATCATAATCTTAATCTTAGTCTTTAACAGCTCATCGAAGCCATTATTTCTAAAATTCAGACCAAAAACTTATAAATTAGTTTTTTTTGTAAAACATATCCAAATATTAATAATAAAGTTAAATTTATTATAAAAAAACGAATATGAAAACAAGTTATATTATCAAAATAATTTATTAATAGATTAAAAAAAAAGTTAAAAATTTGATTTTGATTTTTAAAAATAAAATAAATAAGCATAAGAATGGGAAAACCTTTTTAATGATTTGAAAACTTCAAGAGCCCATTTGAATAATATAAAAAAAAAAAAAATACTTATAACTGAAAGAAAACCTATTTTATAACATAATTCTAATGTTCATTATAATTAAAAGAATAAATTAACTGAAGATAAAAATAATATAAATCAAAAATAAATATTATTTATAGATAATTTGATAGAACAAATATAAAAATTTAGCTTTTCAAATAATATTTAACTAAAGGAAAAAATAAAAAAATATTTATCATAACATAAAATAAACATATAAGAAAAGTTTAATTAAAATTCAAAATAGAATAGCTAAGAAAAAAAAATGTAAATTCATTAGTAATTTTTATGTACTAATATAAAAAGTAAATAAAAACTATTTCAAAAAAAAATTAATAACAATTTGAATACAAAAAAAATCTTTAAAAATTTGTGATTGATTGAAAAAAAAAATCAAATGTACTTGCATCTTTATTTTTTAATAATCGAATATTAAATAAAAATATATTTGTATTATATAAATATTATTATTAATATATAAAAAATAAATATCTAAAGATACTAGATTATTTTTTTAAATTAGTTTTATACAAGTTTTATATAAACAAATGTTATAAATTAAATAGTAGTTTAAAGATTATATATTTAAGTTCGTATATACATAATATATATTGTAAAAGAATTTATTTTATTTAACAATTTTAAAATAAAAATAATATTATTAAAATTAAAAAATATATAATTATATTATTTTTTTATAAAAAAACAAAATAATAATAATTATGATTCTTACAAGCATAAAAGCAATTTTAATATTATCTATTTATTTCTTAAAGTAATTTAAATAAGATTGTGCATTCACAGTTAAATGTTAAGGTGATCCTAATTGTATTCCAGACCCAATAGATCCAAACTCACCAGAAGCAAAAGCTATAAAACACTAATATTCTTCCGATTTTATTTGTAATGAGATGTTTTCAGGTCCAAATTGCTGTAATGATGCCTAAGTAAATAAATATAAAAAATTAAATATTTTTATAATAAAAAAAAGAACAACTTACTAGCATCAAATTTTTTATAAGTAAAAAATAAAAACTAAAAAAATTAAAATAAAATATTTTTATAAGATTGATGCTACATTCGGAAATATAGGAAATGGATGTGACAATTGTGCTGCTAATATAAAAAGATTTTGGTGTATATATACATGTTCTCCTAACTAAAGTGACTTTGTTAGGACTCATGGCCGTAAAAACGTTACAGATCCAACTGATACAAGTGGTAATTCATAATTAGAAGTACAAGATGTAAGTATTATTGTTGATTCTTAAACAATTTGTGATTTATGGCAAAGCTGGTATTAATTTCTATTTTTTTTATAAATTTAAAATAAAAAAAGCAATTTAACACCTTATGCTAATTAAGTTTCCGCAATGAAAACTCCGGCAGGATTTTTGTCTTTTTAAGGAGCAAATGCAGTTACTTCAGGAAGATAATCGATAAGAGTTGATTATACAAGTGATGCAAGTAAAAAGCCACTAAATGTTTAAAATTTGGCTAAATGCGATGAACCATAACCTCCCTAAAATGGAACAAGAAAAAATAATGGAGTTGATTATCCATGGTTTGGAAATTAATATGGATTTAATATTTCGTAAAATTGTTCATGCAATAATTGCGCAGATTCATGTTCAATATATTAATTTTAATAAATTTCAGTTATGGAAGTAAAACAATATTATATATTTTTTTTATATATAATTTAGGGATTTAATTGGATTGCGGTTGCTATTTTATATTCTTGTGCTTTAATAAGTGCTTTATTACTAAGCTGGTATAGAAAAAGAAAAATAATTTAAAAAAGTAAAGTAAATTAGTAAAATAGATAAAATATATATACTAATGCACCTTTAATTCAAAATAATTAATAATGAATATATATTATTGTTTTTTAAAATATATAAAAGAATTATAATTATAATTTAATTTACAACTTATTTAAGAATAAATTTATATATATTAATATATATTTAATTATATATATATATATATATTTATATATATATATTTTATATTATTTTTATTTTGCATCAATATATGTTACTTATATTATTTTATTTTAATAAATATAAATTTAATTTTTTTTTATTAAATATAATTAATTTTTTTTCTTATTGAATATTTATATTTATCTGTCTTTATCATTATTAATATTAGTTATTTATTTTATTTTATCTCATAATTATCCTTTTCAATAAAAAGTAAGTATATTTTAGCTTTAAATTATATGACATTTATATCTTTTTAATTTTTTGAAGTCTTTTTTTATTTAAAATAAAAATATTTTCCTTAATTAGATTAAGTATAAATTTAGATATTTTGTAATATCTAATTTTTATGGAATCTTTAATATATTTTTTTGTTAAATATTTTTTTATATTTATTTTTGTATTTTAAAGCCATATATATATTTATATTTTTATAATTTAGAAAATTAAAAAATATTTTTAAATAAAATTTTAATAATAAAGAAAATACAAAATAAATATTTTTTATAAATTATTAGAAATTAAATATTCTTCGTTTAAAAAAAATAAAAAATATATAAATAGCAATAAATGTATTATATTTAATTATATAAATCTTAATTTTAATATTAAAGTTTCTATTTTAATTGCTTTTTCATTTTTTTATATTAGTATAGTGATCATTTGAAGATGAAAAAAACTCAGTTAAATTAAGAATCATTTATTCTAAGCTTAATTAATGTTACAAATCTGAATTATCTTTAATAGCCAAGAAAATAAGAATAAACTATTTTAATTAAAATTGAAATAATAACAAATATATTTAAAATTAATTAAAATTTTACTTTAAAAACTAATAATATACTAGTTAATGTAATTGTATAACAATAAACTCCATGTTCCCAATATAAATTTTTGTGTGCTTAAAATATACTTAATGAAGTTGCCCAATATATGATCCATATTAAATCAACTAATTAACTAAACATAATTAAATACAAAATTCTTTATTTTTCAAATCTTTTTTAAATTTACTAATTTTATTTTTTTAAAAATAATAATAATTTATTTTACTTCTAAATTCCATGCTAGATATGCAAAAATAAATATAGGAAGATTATAATCTGCTCTTGCTAAACAATTTATTGCAGCTAATCCTGCGCCTGCTAAAAAAAATTTTGTAATAATATTATTTTATTCGGGATTATGCATTTTTAATATTTTTTTAAATAACTATTTTTGTTTTTTAATTTCAAATAATAATTTAATTAATATTTTTTAATATATTTTCAATTTATTACATAATTAAATATTATTGATAAAAAACATTAATTTTGAAAAATGGTATCTGATTTATTTTCGGATTAAACCGAATATACGAATATAAATTTGTTATAATTTATAAAATATAATACTTTTTTAAAATTTATATAATGTAAACAAATACAAATAAAAAAAAACTTAAACATATTTAAAATATAATTATTATATTTTTAAAATAAAAATTCATTTGCAATATTTTTAGTATTAAAAACAGTAATAATTACTTTATTTGACTACTAATCAATAATTTATATTGTTGCTAATAATATTACCTTGAATATTTTCAAACGAATATAATTTTTATCTTAAATAATTATTTATACATATTATTATTTTTTGAAAAAAATAATAATAATTAATATGTTAAAATTTAAATATAAATTATTTTAATCTGAAATCTTTTAATTTAATATTATCATTTTTTATTTAATATTAATTTAAATTAGTTAATATCTGTATAAATAATATTTTTATTTTTTTTAAACATTCTATATATATTTTTAATTTTAAAATAGCCTTTATTAGATTTTAATCTTATTATTAATTACTTTATAAAGGTTGGAGGTGGAACATGTTTAATATGTATTATTTATAAATATATATAAATTATTTATAAATCATTTTTTATTTTGTTAATTAGATAAGTTTGTATTTCCTATATTATTTTTATATAAAATTAATTTGTTTATAATATTAATATAAATAATATTTAATTTATATACATATGTTTATTGTAAACATATTATAATTATTTTATCTTATGTAAAATAATCTTATTTAATGTAGTATTTTTTTAAGCTTTAATTATTCAAAATAATATATTTTTACTAAAAACATAAATTATTTTTAAGTTAAAATCATTCTTAGAATATTTTTAATAATAGTTTAAAATTTCGTAAAATTTAATAATCATAAAATATTAAAAAATCAATTAAAAAAAAAATATTAACGAAAATGTCAAACATAAAATAATAAATTATTTTTAAAAAAAGTTGTTTTTAACAACAATTTAGGAATTAAAAGTTGAAATCTAAATTATAAAAAGTACGTTAAATATAAATAATAGAGGAAAATAAAAACAAAGACTATGAAATAATATTATTAAAGTTAAAAAAAGCTTTAAAAAAACAAAATAATAAAAAAATAAGAAAAAATAATAAATTAAATATAAGAAAATAATATATTTAAAATTCAAATTATTATAATTATAATTGATTTATTAAATGATGATTTTTTTGAAAATTTAAGACTTGATTTCATATAATATTTGATTTACAATATGTATTAAAGTTAATAAAATGTTCAGTTATTAAATAATTAAAAATTTCTATAATCTTTATAAAGTATTTTACTAATTTAAAGTATTAGCAAAGATTTAAAAAAAAAAGTAATACAAAAATAATAATTATACTTATATTTAATATTTTTTTAATTATTATAAAGATTTGGTTATTACTATACATTCTAAGTGAAATAGACTAAGAAATTTTTATTAATGAAAATTTAGTAGAAAATGCGTTTTTAACAATTAATGAAATGCCATAAAATTACAATCATTAAATTATAGAAAACATATTAAAATTTATTACAAACTTAGGGATAAAATCAAACTATTTTTCTAAATTTTAAATTAATTTAGTTATTTAAATTCACAATTAAATTTTTTAAATAGATTAAACATATTATAATGAAATAATATTAAACTTTTATGATAATGCATTTTCTTTATAAAATTAATTATCATCTTTTATTTTTTATTAGTTTGTTGAAAATGGCATTTTCAAGAAAATATTTTAAATGATTTAAAATGAAAATTCTTTATGGAATAAATCAGGTTTCTTGTTTAAAAAACTTTCTTGTTTATATGATGAATTTATAGAAGTAAAAAAAAACAAATAAAATTTTTAAAAAAATAAAATAAAAAAAGATTTTAATATATGAAGGTTACCTTTAAACAATAGAATTTCTTTTATAAGGAACATCAGAATAAATAAAAATAAATATGATTTTTGCAATATCAAACTTATTTAAAAGTGAGGAAAAAATAATAAAAGAATGTTAAAAATATAATCTACATTTTTAAATACTTTTTTATTTAGAATAAGAAAAATCAATCGAATTAAAAGGTGAATGTCTTCATGCTTTAGTAAACTATTTATTAAATTGGAATTCTAAAAAATTTGAGCTAGGTTTAGATGCTGATAAAATTATATTTTGTATATGCTAAAATTTAGAAGAATTATACATAGATTTTAATGACAAAGAAATATATTTATTGCTTTAGTGTTTTGATATTTTATTGGAATTCTAATAGGAAGAAACTAATTAATAAATTTTTTAAGGTAATTTTTATTGGGATTATATGTTTAAATAAGGAACTTTAGATATTATTTAAAATATATTTTATCGAAATTTTGTAGATTTAAAATTAAAAATAAAATTTAAAACATTTGTATGCATTTATTAAATTATTATGAATGGAAAAATAGTTTGGAATGAAATAATATTTTTTTAAAAAAATATTTAAGAACTTTTTTATTTAATTTTTTAAAAAATATCTATCTAAAAATAACTAAACATAATATATGTTTATAATATCTTATTATTAAAAAATCAAATATTGATATTTTTATACAGAATAAAATTTATTATATTAATATAATTTATGAAAATAATGTTTATTTAATAAGTAATTTTAAATAAAAATGATTTTAATTTTTAATTTTTACAATTATTAAATTAAAAATGTTTTTAATCATAATATATTAAATTTAATATATTATATTAATAGTCCTTAGTAAAAATACTATTTAATTTTAAAAATATTTACATAATTTCATTTTAACCTCTTTATTTTCTATTAATAATAGATAAAATTTAAAAAACTTAAGTAAATTTTGTTTATTAAAATCTAGAAAACAAAAATTCTAATTTTAAATAGATTATTATAATTAATATGATAGTTCTGAAACAAATCATTAAGATAAGGTATAAATAATTATCAAAAAGTTTTGTAAAAATAAAAAATATTTATAAATAAATTAATGAAAGAATATTAACTAAATACCAAAAATGAAAAATAAACATAAGTTATTTAATATAAAAGAAGTTCAAATATAATAAAAAAAACTATAATGCGGAAATTATTTTTTATAATAATGTAAGTTTTCAATATTTATCCAGCATAAATAAAAAAATTATTATTTCATATAAGTTAAATTAAATTAAATTTATTCATATAAAAATAGATAATTATTGAAAATGTGAAAATTATATTGATAATTTATTTTCCTCTTAATTTTTTATTTATTATACTTTAATTGGAATAGTATATATTTATGATGATTAGAATTATTTCTATTTAATTATATAAAGTATTATAATATTTCCTTTTTATAATTTATTCAGATCTTAAATTAAAAATATTACGAATTCTTTTATTTTAATTAAAAATAATTCTATATTAATTAAAATAATTCTAAGTAAATTATTATATAGGATAATAACTTTAGTTATGAATTAATAATATTAATTATTTTATAGAAAAATTAAAGTTATAAAAATAATATTATTTATAAATTTTAAAAAAATATTTAAAGCGAATTATTTTAATCAAATGTATGAAAAAATAGATTTATAATCTT